TTATATCTCAATAAAGCTGTTAAAAACAGGTATATGACAATCCCTAGGCTGTGCAATCTGGTTTGAAAGCCATTTAATACACAGTCAGTACATACAGTGAAGCATACGCTAAGCGCCAAAGCATTCTGTAGATGCAAACCACTGGACTGGGATGATCAGGAGGTCTGCATGTCCATAATCCATGCTGTGTGAATCCCCACACGCACCTTTGCAAATGGAACTCTTTTTAAGGCCTGGGAGGAGAAGGGTTAAGAGCAGAGACTCTGAACACAGACCGGAAGGGTTCAAATCCAGGCTGCATCACTTACTCGATGTACAACCTTGAGTAAATCGCTTAACCTCTCTGCATGTCTTTTCTTGCCTGTAAAATGAGGACAAAAGTAGAAAGCACCTGCTTCTTGGTATATGGAAATCAACTGAGTGATTATTTGTAAAGCACTAGGGAAAGTGCCCGGCACAGAGTAGGCAATACGTAAGTAGTTCTAAGATAAAAGTTTGGTTTCTATTAAGGTGCCTAATTTCCCCTCCTAAATCATCTTTCCCCTCTCCCATATACTAAACACCATGCTTAACACTATGCACCATGCTAAACCATCAGGCACACAGTATGGTGGACAGGGCAAGAGCACAGACTCTGGAGCCAGACTGGCTGGATTTGAACCCACTCCTTACTTCCTAATTATCAGATCACCTGCTGGTTATCTCATTCTTCACTTGTAAATCTGGGATAATAGTATATAACTCAAGGGACTGTTACAGGCATTAAGTGAGTTAATGATGAAAGGCATTTAAAATCTAATCTCTATCTCGTGAGCTGCTCCTTGATTTATTCTATTATCTGCTGTCCCCTAAATGTTGCATGTGCTCTCACCTCTCTGCCTTCCATTTGCTATTTCCTCTCACTGGTAGAGTCTTTCCTCTTCTCCCTTCCATTCCTTCTGAGATACTGCCTTTGAGACATTTCTTCTTGTCCCCCGTCACAGAAACAGGCTCCTTCCCTGATGCTCCCGCAGCCCTTGGTATGGCATGAACTATGCGTGGGGCTCTTCCATCACAGGCTTTAGCCCTTCACGCCATTGTGGTTTTCTTGAAAGCCCAAATGGAGTGCAATTCATCTTCATATCCTCAGTTTAGTCTCGTTTTGAACATTAGAAAGAGCCCAATACACAATTCTAAATAAATCAATAATGGGAGCGACAGCTCATCCAAGAACAGACTAATCAGTGCTAAATCCATTAGTCCTAAAGACCAAATTTCCCTTATAGGCATACTTCATTTTAGTGCATTTCATTGCATTGTGCTTCATAGATGCTGCTTTTTTAACAAAACAAAGGAAAGGTCCTCCATCAGCAAGAAGATTACATCTCACTTTATTGTGGTGGTCTAGAACCAAACACGCCTGTACTATTAGGCTTTACTTGGTCCCCCAATTTTTTTCTTTTAGTTCTAGGCTAATTTCACCCAAATTATTGATCCATGTCCAGTTTGGTATCTGAACATCTCTAATGCCTGATCTCAAGTGGGCATTTCCTAACTTTTAACAGTTTCATGAGAGAGAGACAGAGAAACATTGATGTGAGAGAGAAACAGCAACTGGTTGCCTCCCGCAGGTGTCCCCGCCGGGGATCAAACCCACAACCCAGGCATGTGCCCTAACCAGGAATCAAATCGGCGACCTTTTGGTACATGGGATGATGCTCCCAACAACTGGGCCACCTTGCCAAGGCTTTATTACTACTTTTTAAAAATGCATCTTTTGTGGTCTTGCATAAAATACAATTTTAAAAATTCATTTTCATTTTAATACATAAAAGACAGTGTTTGGAAATTTTTTAAAGAAATACTTTTCTCAAGCCCTGGCCAGTGTGGCTCAGTTGGCTGGAGCATCATCCCATAAACTGAAAAGTCGTGGGCTGAATTCCTAGTTGGGGAATATAACTAGGTTTCAAGTTCAGTCCCAGCTGGGGGCATAATGAGGCAACCGATCAATGTTTCTCTCCTTCTCTCTCTCCCTCTCTTCCCGCCCTCTTTCTAAAATCAATAAGCATGTCCTCAAGTGAGGATTTAAACAAAAAACAAACAAAAAAATAAGAAGGAGGAAATACTCAAAACAACACAAATAGTACAGGCACACCACTTACTGTTTACCATCTCACAGGGGAACCCAGAATTATCCCCACAAAAGCAGGCAGCAAGAGAACTGAAGCCTTTTGAGTTCATCTCAAAACACTAAGACTTTTAGATCAATGTTACTTGATGAAAAAACAAACACCTCTTGCATCACTAAGTATTACTCTTCATGCAGAAGTCAAAACAAAAAGCAAAGACTGGACTCTCAGTCTTCCTATTTAATAAAAGGAATACTGAATAATTAATTACATTTGAATAAGTAAAAGACCAAGGAAACTAAGAATAAATGGTCAAGAGATCAAGAAATGGCCAGTTGTGGCTAGATGCATCCAGAAAATAACCTGAATAATCTGCTTAAACAGTCAAACAATTCACCATAGTGAGTGCCGGCATTCACCTACAACTGTGGAGTTCAAGATTCTTGGCCCAATTTCTCAGGCTCTTCACTGAAGTGAGCTTCTCTGCTAGTTTTAAGAGGGAATGTCAGTCCTACCCCTGATGAGATTGTGAAGCGTATGGCTCTGTGTGCAACACAGCAACATGGAATAATATCTGTGCTCCAGGGAAAAGCAAAGAGCGTGGTCATTAACTGGGCTGCCCAGCACTGACTGGCAGCTGACAGAATCACCCCGCAAAAATAGTGCCCAAAACTAAGTAAGGGGCACTATTGGACTAAAGTACACCAGCACAGCTCATTTTGGGCCCTTTAAAGACTACATTTACTGCACTGCCCTAGAGCTACAATGGTGCACATTATAAGAAACGGCCTTATGAACCTGCAGACACGTATTTGTGGTCATGAGATAGCTTGCAATGCAGTTCACTCATAGCGTGTAAAGGACATGAGGAAAGACTGCCCTCAGAGAGCAGTACAAGGAGACCTCTCTTCCAAGTAGCTGACCTCACTGATCGCTTTATCTTTGCTTTGGCTGCTAGAAAATTCAATCATCTTTAGCAAGTATATCCATATTTTCCACTAACCTTAGTCCTGGCTTTTTTTTCTCATCTATTCTGACTTGATTTCGATGCCTTGTTGGATTGTAAATATACATATATATGATGTGAGCCATCAGAAATCCTGAAATGTGTAAATGAATAAAGACACAAAACACAAGATCCCAAAGAGTAAAACTGAAATGTTTCATCTTCCCTGAGTCTCACTACTTGGCTGAAATTCAACTGCACTTATTGATATGATGTGACAGTTTAATAAAAACACAATCCAGAGGCCTGCTTCCATGTCACTTGTTTTACTTCATAGTAGTTAATCATTCTTATCTTATACCCCAATGATATGTATATTACTCAAGTTAGGTTCCTTAATTACTTTACCTCCAAATTAAGAAAAATGATTTAATTCAGTAATGTATAGTTACCTACTCCCACTTACTCTCCTGCAAGGACCCACCTGGAGAAAACTAATTAATACCAAACCTTATACTCTGACTGCATGCAAAGAAATGGTCAAAGGCTACTGGCATTGGAAGGGTTAAAGTAGCTTCCAAAAATGAATCTCAAGGATCCTCACAGAATCTACCCAAAATGGTTATATACAGCCGTGTGTTCACACACAATCTACTTTCACACACATGGCACACTCCGGAGGATGGAACTCCGAGTAATTCAGAAAAGAGAAAGACCGCTTAGGCCACAAAGTCTAGCAATATAAAGAAGCCTGCAGATTTGGAAACTTGGAGAAACTTAAGTCATAGAATAGCATTTAAATATATTTGTCTGCTTACAATTTCCATTGCAAATGTGATTAGTTTGCTTGAATAAATAGGAATATGATGTGTTGGCCATGTTTTCCTCTTGAGGGTTATCACAGAGTTTTGATTAAGGACAAATGTTTGAAATGTTGGGTATATTTAAGTTCACTGCACTTAAAATGAGCTAAGAAGTTGTATAGGCTTGATTAAAGGCCTGCCTTCATGAACTTAAAATTAAAAGTAATAAATTCCAATGATTCAAGTGATTGGGACTAAAAATGGTATTCTGCCAGAAAAGTTGAAATAGAGTCCAAAGAGACTGAAATGGTGTCCAGGTTTCAAGAAATGGTGAAAGAGGAAAGGTCAAGCTGTCGGAGTTGCCTTTCCTCTGGGTGAGTGAATGATTCACATTACGCAGAATTCCTTTTAAGTAGAACTTCACAGGACTTACAGGCTCTCCGGACAATCTGTTCTGTCATTTCTAAAAAGAAGCCTCTCAAATGCTCAGAGGCCGGTATGTAAGTGTTGTCAGATGGGGAGAGTTGGGGAGTAGGATGAGGAAGGTTGGGGCGAGAGGTGGGGGCTGGGGGTCCTCTGGAGTTTGCCCACAGACGCGCGCACGCTAACTCTCCCAAGCCACCTCCAAAACGGAAGTCAAGGTGACTTCCCCGCCCGCGGGAGGGCGGAGCCTTTGAAACCTAAAAGGATCACGCTCCAGCCAGAGCTGTGTCCCCTGGAAAAAGAAACCTAGGTCAATTATAACCTGGGTCAAGAGCAGGAGCGCGCTGGGGTGCCCCAGGAGACCTGCTCACCCCAGGCCCTCCCCCGGCCCAGGTGCTCCCGCTTCTCCTCGCCGGCCTTAGCTCAGCCCGCCGGGCGCCGCTCAGGCACTGGCTCCGCTCCCGGGCCAAATGGGAGGGTCCAGCCTGCAAAGTTTCTGCAGCAAGATCGGGCCCCAGTCGCAGCACGGGCCGCCTGTGCTGCCCCGAGAGTGGCGGTCACCTCCTTGGGTCCGCTGCTTTAAGGTGGAACGGCTGCCCCGTGCTCCTTTCTTATGCACTTTCCCCAGCTCACCCACCCGGCACGTGAACGTCCGAGCCTGTCGCGCCTACGGACGCAGTGGGGCTGGCGCGCTCCCTGGGGCAACGAGCTGACGCTTACCTTGGCGGCCGCCATGCTTTATCCCCGCGTGCGGGCGACTGCGGGTCCCTCTTACCGGCGCGCCGGCACTGTACTGTGGGACCGGGCAACTCACTTCCCGTCCGGGAGGCGGCGGAGGCGGCGATAGGGCCCGGCAGCGAGCCCGCCGACCTGCCTCCCCACGCCCTCCCGCCCGCGCGGGTCATGCGGGCGCCGCCAGCCCATTGGCTGGGCCGCCCCGGCCGCCGCGGCGCGCGTGAGCGGCATGGCCTCTGCCCTGCGGCCGGGGCGGGCCTGGGTCCACGGGCTCCGGACTGGATGCGGGCACGTGACCCCGGCGGAGTTCTCCGGCCGCGGTGACTTCTGAGGCGAAGGCCCAGGCGCGATGGCGGGGTGCCAGCCTGTCTCCTTTGGTCAGGTGGCCTCGGGAGGGCTGCGACTGGTACCAGCGGCTGCTCCAGGGCCCTGGAAAGCCAGCGGAGGGCACACAGCCTGGGGAAGTTGAGAGCGCCAGTACGTCACATGTTTAGCCACCTTTTCTTGTCGGTTTCCTTTCAAAGGGGCTCCGTTCTGCACTGTTGTATAATGAACCCCCAAAGCATTAAGCAGTCAAAGGGAAGATAACCAAGTCATTTTGCTGGCAAGCCTACTTTTGGTCAAGTCTGGTAAACTCTGTGTACTAAGCAGGTGTATATATTTATTTGCAGAACATGTAGTTGCAGGGCTACTTTATTTCTGCCCCGCCCAGTAGGACTAGGGGGAAAAATAAATAATAAAGAGCCCTACTAAAACAAATGAGTCGAAATTTTAATGAAAAAAGTAAAGGTATAAACTCCAGAGGTCTTCATCGTCTCCATCAGAATTTCATTCATTTGTGTCTGCCATCAAAATTGTGATTCAGGCAATGGGGATGGCGGGAAAGGGCTTAAATGCTTTGTGGGTTATAGATATAACCTAACCGTGAAACTGTTTTTTTTACTAATTGTTTTGAGTCATCAACACTGAGTGCTTGCCGGTCCTGTGCCAGGCACTGCGTGCGCTAGGCGTTGGGAACAGCAGCATGACTTGAGAGATGGTCCCAGCCTTCAGACAGCCTCAGGGCCGTGGGAAGGCAGACACAAAGAGCGGTAACTTGGATATTATTTGTTAAGACAGCGATTCTCAACCTTTTTCATCTCACAGCACACAAACTAGTCACTAAAATTCCATGGCACACCAAAAAATACATAATATTTTTGGCAGATCTGACCCTCCCCAAAAGGTATAACTTTGATTCATTCACACCAGACAGCTATTGTGTTGGTGGCTGTCATTTTTTCATTGGACGATGGAAGGGAGAAGGGGTTAGTGCCCTTGACGAGTCAGGTATGGCATGTTTTAAAAATTCTAGGGGCACGCAAGTTGAAGATTGCTGAGTTAAGGCAACAGCCTGGCCTCAGGGTGCAATGGGAACCTGAGGACCGAGAAGCCTCTTAGAGGAGAGGATGCTGAAGCTAAATGCAGATAAAAGGGCTGCTTTTCAGTCCAGTGAGGTGGAGGGGAAGGGCTTTCCAGATGGAAAAAATGAGGACAAGAGGTTGCAGGCCCAGAAATTGGGCAGGAGCCACAGCAAGCTTTGAAAAGTAAAGGTAATCTGAGCTGTGAGACAGATAGAAGGGGAGTTTGGACAGGCAGGAAGAGGCCACGTCATGGGTGGTGGTAGGTGCCATGCTGAAGGGCGTGCACCTTAACTGAAGGGTTTTTAGGCAGCAAGGAAGGTGTCTAGCTTTAGCATACACATGGATCACTCTTTCTTGTAGCGCAGAAAGTGGGGCAAGCCTGAACTATTGGAATACCCAGGCAAGACAGGCTGGAACCTGAAACTAGAGATAGGAGTGTGCTACAGGCATACACAGGAGGTGAAATTAGTCAGCCATGATGACAGATTGTGTGTGGGGGTGGGAGAGAGAGAGAAGCCATCCTGACTTGCACATGGGCCCCTGCTCTAGGTGTCGGAAAGACACCAGACATCAGTTTTGAAGCATGTGTGTATATTAAGGAGAGCGTGTATGTAATATACGAGCTTGCGAAAGCCAAAGAAAGAAGCGTTTCAAAAAGGAGCGATTGATACACATACTCTCAAGAGGTCAAAGCCCCCAAAAACTTGAACAGGGTGGTAGACAGAGGAAAAGGACCAAGCAAAAGAGTGAAAAAGCAAAGACAAAAATAAAACCAGGAGAATTCATAGAGAAGAGGATGTCAGAGGCAGAGACTAAAGCTTATGGGTAGGAAGAGGTCAGTGTACCTGATTAAATAAAGGGATTTTTAAAAAAGCAGAGAAAATACCTCAAGTAACCAAGACCATATCATAGCATATTTATATTCAGGGCTTCACTGAAACTCTCCTTTCATAATATAAATGAACTTTATAAAAATGTAAATATGGTAAAATATACATAACATAAAATCGACCTACCCAGTTTTAAGTGTGCGGAGTACATTCACGTTGTGCAACCATTCTCCTGAAGTCTTTTCCTCTTGCAAAACCAAAACTCTGTGCCTATGAAAGATCCCCTCCCATTCCTCCTTCTCCCCATCCCCTGGCAACCACCATTCTACTTTTTGTCAATGTAAATTTGACAAATCTAGGAACCTCATAAAAGTGGAATCATACAGTATTTGTCTTTCTGTAATCAGCATATTCCATTTAGCAAAATATCCTCAAGGTCCTTCCATGTTGTAGTATGTGCCAGCATTTAAAGACTCTTTAAGACTAAATAGCGTTCACTTACCTTTCAAAGAAAAACAATTAAGACTCTGTGAGATTTTTTTTTCTTGAAATCTTGGAAAATTCAGAAAGTCATAGTAATGACAAAAAAATCACTCATAGTCTTACTGACAGAGTTAGCCACTATTAACTTTTTGCTGTATTTTCTTCAAGTCTTGATGTGTTTATGTGTATGTAGAGAGTCATATTTTTAAATTTAAATACAAGAAATCATACCCTGTGTATACATTTTCTATGCCTGTTCTAACAAAGCTGCCACCTATTTGAAGGCTTACAACAACAGAAATTTATTCTGTGACATTCTAAAGATCAGAATTCCAAAATGAGCCTTAAAGGGCTAAAATCAAGGTGTTAATAGGGCCATGCTCTCTCCAGAAGAGTTAGGCAAGAATCTGTTTCTTTGCTCTTTCCAGGGACTCATGGCTGCTTCCTCCTTCAAAGCCATAGCATCTTCTCACTCAGCATGAGTCCCTTGCATGGTTTCTTCTGTGATCTCCCTCTGCCTCCCTCTTATAAGGACACTTGTGATGGCATTTAGGATCCACCCAGATAACCCAGGATAATCTCTCCACCTCCAGACCCTTAAATTAATCATGTCTTCAGAGTCTCTCCCGTATAAAGTAACACACAGAGGCTCTAGGGATTAGGATGTAAGCATCTTGGGGGAGGCTGGGAGACTCTCACCTACCACACTATGGATGCAAGCATATCCACAGATAGCTAAAAAGTGTATTTCAACCTACATTGGAAGTCGGACTCAGTTGATTAAGCCTCCTCTTCTATTCTAGGATTCCCCAAACCATAACTTTTCAAAAATTTAATTGTCACAAATCCTGAAACAGGAAAGATGCTCCTTGACTTCCACATGACCTGTAAACAAGAGTGTGGCATGAAACATTGTCTAAAAGATAAAATAAGAAACTGCTTTATTTCCCACTGTTTCCACTTCTAAGTTTTAGAAGAATAGCAAAGAAATGACTGGCCACTTGTTCTCTCTTATGAGCTTTTAGAATTTGTAAGAATTATGGACTGCTTTTTTTCTTAGTAAAATTAATTTTTCCTGGGATTTTGTGAAAAAAGTAAAATAATAGATCTAGTTTATGATTTTATTTCTAATTTATGCTGATTTTATAATATCTAGTCAACCAATGTTGTGCAGAGATTTCCTTATGGGGAGCAGGAAGAAGCAAAGGATCTCTTACTCTGATGGCTTTTTAGGAATTTTGTTACTGAAAAAATAAACATTGCTTTATTGTTTATTTTAGCCAGTAAAGTTGTCTCCAAACAGGGTAACAGAGAGAGAGAGAATAAAATATAAGTTGAGTGGGCACCTGTTACTTTGTTTTCTCCTGACAGGTTAGATTTCCTCCTGATATGTAACTTATATTGTCTCTCCTGTCTGTCATCAGACCACCCCCTGGCACTGAATTTTGACTGAAGAGGTCCTGTTTGGGTTGAGTTGTGTCCTCCCAAAGTCCTAATCCCTGTTTCCTCAGAATGTGATTTATTTGGAATTCGAAAGTGTAATTAGAATGAATTCATACTGGAGTAGGGTCGGCTCTTACATAGAGCCTTACATAGAGTAAGAACCGACCCTACTCCAATATGACTCCTTATTAGAAGACACAGGGATATACTGGGAGAGATTAAAAAGGCAGAGATTAGAGCCACCACCAGAAGCTAGGAAGAGGCAAGGGAGGATTCTACTCAGAGACTCAGAGAGCCTGGCCCTGCTGACAGCCTGACCTGGGACTTCCATCCTCCAGGAGTGTGGGAAAATAAAGTTAGTATTTTGTTACCACAGATCAAGCAAACCAATACAGGCCCAAAAGCCACCTGTGTTTTATAGCACCTGATACCTGCATGGACGGCTGGGAAAACACCAAGCCCAAATCTAAGGGAAAGTTCAGGTGCTTGCGGGCACACAACCTGCGCACAGGCACTAGTCCATGGAGCTCAAACAGTGAGCGGCAAGTCCTGCCCTGAACTTCTACCTCCCCCAGAGCAGCCGTGCCTTGTAGCTATCCTTGGCCATGCTTTTAAACTATTGGCTTTTCTTCAGCTCCATGAAAAACAAACAAGCAAATAACAGGCTGCGCTACCACCACCAGCGTGCCCCAGGTTAGATTGCTGGACAAGATATCCAGCAAGAATGCTTGCAAAGAACACCATTGACAGGAAATCTGAGGCATGTAACTACAAACTGCGCTAGTGATCCTTTGTGTGGATTGCACTTTGCAAAGGTAGTGCCAGGGCTGGGAAAGGACATGTGTGACAGAGCCAAAGGAGCTCCAGGAAATAAGTACATGACCTGTTCCCAAGTTCTGACCTTGCAGCTGAGACACAGCAGCTCAAGGACACGGAGAGCTCTTCTGTGCAGTCTTTTTTTTCTGGAATCCTGCCTAGTGTCAGATGAAGCACGATTAGCCTTCTCTGAGAGTGTGAAGGTGGGTCAGGA